ATAAAAAATAAAAATAAAAGAATGGAAAAGAAAATATGTATCAAGCAGGTGGCAACCAAAAGAGCAGGAGTGGCAACATTAATTTCTGATCAAATAGATTGCAAGGCAAAACTAGCAGAAGGAACAAGTAAGGGCATTATAGAATGATTAGAGGGTCAATCCAGCAATATAACCATAATAAATATATCCGTGCCCAATTAAAGAGCCCCAAAATGCATAAAACAAACATTCACAGAATTGAAGAGACAACTTCACAATAACAGCAGGAAAGTAACACACTACTGTCAGTGTAGGGTAGGATGACTAGGAAGAATTCACCAATGATGCAGAAGGTCTAAACAGCACAATCAACCAGCTTGAACTCACAGACAAATACCAAACACTCTGCCCAACAAAAACACAATTCACATTCATTTCCAGTGCACGTGGATCATTCTCCATAATAGATCGTATGTTAGGCCACAAAACAAGCCTCAATAAATTTAAAAACATTGAAGTAATGCAAAGTGTCTTCTCCGTTCACAACACTAGAAAATCAGAAACTAACAATAGAAAGATCAAGGAGGGAAAAAAATCAAAGACCTAGAAACTGAATGACACCCTGCTGAAAAACTACTGGATAATAGAACAAATAAAAAGTGATATTAAAAAATCCAAGAATCAAACGAGAATGAAAACACAACATACAAAAACCTTTGGGATACAGCACAAACAGTGCTCAGAGGTCAATTTATAGTAATAAATGCACACATTAAAAAAAAAGAAGAAAGAACCAAAATCAACCCTTTAACCCAACATCTCTAGCAACTGGAGAAAGAGCGGCAAAAAAAAAAAAAAAAGAAGAAGAAGAAGAAGAAATAATAAAGATAAGGGCAGAAATAAGTGAAACAGAAAAACAATAGGAAAAATAAGAGTAGAAGTTAGTTCTTCAAAAAGATTAACAAAATTGACAAAGCACTGACAAATTTAACAAAAGAAGATAAAAAAGAGATGAAAATAACATGAATGAGAAATGAAATG